ACCAAACCTAAAGAAAAATCTATTCCTACCTTCCTACATTTACACAAGCAACAACTCTTCCCCTCATCCCAGGCCAAATAATCCTATCATAAGTTTATGCTATTTGGTTTGGGTATTAAAGTTACACAGTACACAAATGATTATTCAAAAGTTATCTTACAGATTGATTGTATAAAAAGTCTAACTTAGGGTGCTAGTGTGCTTTTAATGTTTCACATTGTTTGCCTTAATAATTACTTACCTCGCTAACTGCAGGTATGTTTTCTGTTAAGGGCAGTTGTACTAGTTCATTCTCCAAGGCTTCATTTAATTTTTCATCCTGCTGTTGCCTGTGCTTTCCCAATATGAAATAAAATGGTGTTGTTGGAAGACTTTCTTCTGCTAGTAGCTATAAGGATTTAAAACAAAGGGAAATGACTTTAATTAAAAAGAGGAACCACCTTTGATTCCATTAGTACTATAAACAAGGGTCTCCAACCCCTGGGCCTCGGTCTGGTACTGGTCTGTGGCCTGTTAAGAACCAAGCTGCACAGCAGGGGGTGAGCAGCGGGCTGGTGGGTCAGCCAAGCTTCATCTGTATTTGCAGCCGCTCCCCAACTAGCATCACCGCCTCAGCTCCACCTCAGATCATCAGGCATTAATTTTCATAGGAGCACCAGTCCCTGTTGCCAAAAAGGTTGGGGACCACTGCTATAGAGTCCTAAAAGGTCAAGAATGGAAGAAATTTAGAAGTTATCCAGTATGAGTCTTCATTTTATATGTAAAGTCTGAAGCCTAGCAGCCCAATTACTAATGGAAAAGCTAACAGTGGACACTTAGATGACATAACAAAATACCCATTTATCACTGTTTCTCCCCCAAATCCCACAAAATGACAGCAAAGGGTTTTTCAAAACAGCATAAACCACAGTGAATGGGTGAAATTGTAACATATTGAAAGCTGAATTCTAAGCTGGCTGTGGGGAAAGCCAAGAAGCATCCCAATTTATACTGTGGAATCCTGTAAATGCTGAGGAATTGGTACTAATTGTAATGGTACCTCCGTAAAGGGCTAAAAAAAACCAGGTAGTCTGGCTGAAAGTCTACTTAGAGAGCACTCAGATTCACAGCTCGTTTCAGCCCCAACAGAAGGCTGGACGGATAGTCTTTGAAGAGTGAAACAAAAGCTTGTCTTTAGACTGGACTGCTTGGTGCGTGTAGAGTCTTCACAGTGCTGGCAGCTTCACTGTACTTCAGAGCGGGTGCTTCTCAGAACACTGCCAGCCACGCTGACATCCTTTCAGGTTAAGAACTTAAAAGAATTTTATTTGGGCAATCTGACCAGCATAGGAAAAAATGACCTAAAAATAATGACATTAGAGATTTTCTTTAAATAGCTCATACAGTGGAGGCCAGAGAATAAGTTCTACTCAGTAGAGAACATCCAAATGGCTGTTTTGCTCATGCTCATTTAAAAATAAAAGCAGACAGCCAAGGATCATCAGGTTCTGAAGAAAACCTCCAAAATGAAAGAGTCCAAAACAGACTGAAAACAAAAGTCTGATGACATCAACGATGCAGGAGAGAAAGGGAGGGAAAAAAATAGGTTAGATGGTAAAAATGAAGATATCTCCCAGAAAACAGGAGGAAAAAAATAAAAATATTTTAGCACCCAGTCTAGAAGGTCCAACATTAAATAACAGGTGTTCAGGGCGGGGGAGAAAAAAGAAGAAAACAAAGGCAAAGAAATAATTAACTTTTCCTTAGTTCTCTGATCAAAACCCTTCAAGAGGCTTCACATTTCCTGAGGAAAAGCCAAAGTCTTTTCATTCAGGCTGACTTTCACCACCCTATTTAAAATGGGGAGCAGTATCCCTTACCCACTTTTCCTCTATTCTTTCCCTCATAATTCTTATCACCTTCCAAAATATTATTTACATATTTCATGCTTGTTATTTATTGTTTGTATCTTCCTATTACACTATAAACACCACCACTTTAGAGACTTGACTATTTTGTTCACTGATGTATCCCAAGCATCTAGAACATAGTAGATGATCAACAAAAGGTTGCTGAATGAATTCAATGAGTGAAGGATCAAGAATAAGAATGGTATTGGACTTCTAGTAACACGGGAAGCTATAAAATAAGAGGAAAATACCTTTGAAGTTCTAAGAGAAAATGGTTTTCAACCTAGAACTCTATACCCAACCAACCAATCAAGTGGGAGAGAATAAAAACATTTCCAAACATGGAAGGTCTTGAATTTACCTTCCATGCAGTAACAGAATGTGCTTCACCAAAGCAAGGGAGTGACTGAAGGAGGAGGAAAACTGTGGGTTCTATTACAGTGGAGGTGAAGCAAATACCCTGAACGATGGTGAATGTCAACCTCAAGATGACTACTGTACACCAGCTTTATAGAAAAACCAGTCCAGACTGAAGCAGGTCAGAAGACTCTTAGAAAGATTTCTTCAAGACTTAAAAGTGTAGCTAATATGTCTGAAAATACTGAGAAGAGTTGCACAGCGTGAATAGAGTTTGGGATGAATTAGGTGGGAAGTAAATAGAAAACTAAGCGAAACTAAGAAAGAGGCAATTACTTACTCCAGAGAAAAAAAAGTTGGTCACAAAGGAAAAACCAGTCTGTTATTACGTGGTTTGGCTACGAGTTGTGTTTACTAGGTTATAATGATGAACATGGACCGGACCAATTTTAGGATTCATCTATGTTGAAAAACTGGGGCAAAGGGTGTGTGTGTGTGTGTGTGTGTGTGATGTGTATGTGTGGGGAGTGGTGGTGTGAAAAAGAGCTTTAACTTCAACAGATAAAATCTAAATCTGAAAAATCCAGAATTAGCAATATAAACATGTTTCTCAGGGATATAGAACCAATGTAGGCAATGGCAGTGGTGATGAACAAGTTTTTCCTGAAAAGTCTTACAGAACCACTTGACTCTTTAAATCACAAACATTTCTTATTGTATTACAAACTAAAACTTTATTTTAAAAGAACAATATAACTCCAAAAGAGGCAAGCAGCTTTATAAATATGGTTTTAAATTCCATTTTAGGGTCATGTAAAACATTTTTCTCATAGCTGAGTTCTAAAAGATAACCTTATCTTTGTAGGGAGGCCGTGCAGTCTGTACCATGAGTGGCTAAAACATACCTGTTTGCTTGTCGGTGTGAGTTTCTCTTCAGGAGACTCTGTGCTGAATGTCAACAAACTCTGAAAAGAGAGATCGGTTAATGATGCAAAAGATAAATTGTAGAATGCAAATCTAAGAAAGATGTTAAAGTAAGAAAATGAGAAGGTCAACTTTTTGTCTTGATACATCAACATATATCTACTTAAAGAGCCTCAAAGGTGTGGGCAATGAAAGTGGCGCTCTCACACACACACTAGTAATTACTGCTGTCCTGAGCGTATTAGACAATTTCTGTTGGGACGTAATCCTTAATAAAACTATTCCACCTGTTTTGGGATGATGATTACTCTAACTCTAAAATATTAAAGCAACTGAAAATTACATTTACAGAATAATTACTTTTTTTGAGGATTGGTTACCTGTGATTTTGTTAGGAAGTAAAACTGGGATCTATTCAGCCACTGGTAAGCTTCTGAGGTGAATGATTCAGGGACATCTCGTGGAACAAACACTCCCCACTGGACTTCCTCTCTACAGATATTCTTCTGAATATACAATGGCCTTGGCTCACTAGGTTTAAATACAAACACTAGAGGGAAAAAACAGACAAACAATAACATTTTGCCCACAAATGTTAGTTCTAACCTCAGGCGGATCACACTAATCTTGGGACTTATCCCACTGAGTAAATAACCCAGGTCATGATTATCTTAGGCTTTGATTCAACAAATATCTACTGGGCGCCTACTAAGTGCCAAGCATGTTAGGAATGAGAGCCATGAAGAGAAAGGGAATCCCAGCTCCAGAGGCCAGGGCCTACTGTGGAAGACAGACACCAAAATATTAATACAGTATTTTGTCCTAATTACTATAACAGATATGTAAAAGTGCTTCAAGATCACAGGAGGAATGATTAAAGCTTCTCAGAGAAATTAAGAATCATTCAATAAGGTGAAATCTCTTATATTTTGAAGGCCGAGTAGAAATTGGCACGTTGAAAAATGAGGGATGTAAGGGTGCTCTCCTAGAACTAAGTATGAATGCCTATATAACGAGGTACTAGAGCAAGAACTCAAGAAAGGGCAGTGCCTTAGGCAAAATGGCACCAAACACACATCTGATTTAAAGGAAAAGTGTGACTCAGATTATTTTAAAGACGTTAAAAAGAAAATTCACTATCAAAGTAAAGTATGATCTGTACTTACAGTCTGAACCCACTGAAGACTGAGAGACTGCAGCAACATTCTCAGAATTAGAATCAGGTTCCATTACTCTAATATTTAATTTTGCGCTCCACTCCACTGGGGGAGAAAAAAAGCAATTCACTTTTAAGAAGAGATTTACCAAAAACTTTAAAAAAGTCATTTTAAGTAGGTAATCTTAATCTGTATTAGGACAATCAATTGTATCGTTCTCAGGAAGAGAGATTTTACGTTTCCAAATAACACACAGAGACACACTGAAGTTATCTGTGGAAGGCTGCACTAAAGCGAGGGGCAGGAAGCAGAAAAGTAAAGTATTCCTTCCACATTCTACACAATGGTTATTATTTCAGTGCAACTGCTGTCAGGGCTTTTCAGCTGGTGCTAAACCTGGGCAAAATGTTAGCCAGAGTCACTGTAGAGAATATCAAAAAATGTTATCACACATATTCATTACTAAGCAACCACTATGCCTCCCAAACACATATTCGAATAAGTAAAACACAAATAAGTCCCTATCTGTTAGGAGGGCAACAGAAAGTCATAGGTACTGAAGACACTGGAAAAAGGTAAGTCTGTTTACTGACAATTAGGCACTTTATAAATAATCTAAGTCTATTATAGGCCTAGTCCTCCAAATTGTAGTGGTATAATGTACCATTTAAAAAATTACACATTCTCTGAGTAGAGACCTGAAGATGTAATCCAGAAGTCCTAACAGCCAAAGTTTAATGGCCACTTTCTACTTGCTTTGCCAACTCACTATATAGTGAACAAGAAAAACTTACATGCACAACTGAGCAGATTCCAACAGCAAAGAATGCCATTTTCAGTAGCACCGAGAAGATACTTCGAACAAGTCAGTCTCCCAAAGCAAAGGTGCCTAGATTAAAACCAGAAGCAAGTTAACAGCGGTCGGTTCTATCACACTTAGTTACAAAGGACTGCACACTTTGGCAGTTTTATGCAATACAGATTTTTAGACAGGCACGTATGTTTTTGTTCATAATTATCTTGCAGAAAAAAGGGACTAAGTAAAAAAAGGTGTATGTAGATACGTTGTTTCTTAGTAAAACAGGTTTGATAACCAATTCTTTTCTCTAATATTTGCTGTGTGGTATAATAATTAAGATACATACAGAAAACATATGTGAAAAAAGTCATTTTAAAAGTACTCTTTAACAATCATTTACCTCAAGAGGAAAGTTTGCAATATGAATTCTGAAGAAGGTTTTACAAAGTAAATTCAGAATCAGAAATGTTGGGGATTATAAACAATTTAATTAGCCATCTTCCTTTCCATCCCCAAATGCTGTTACATGAAGTAAAATGGAAGATACTGCTGTTATTTTCCTTTGCCTTTCTTAGAAACAATGAAGTTTTAGCATACCATTGTTTCTATGAGAACACACAGAAGATAAACATTGTGTGAATCTACTGAGGTTTAAGTATAGCTTCTATTACGTAGTACAACCATAAATAAAAGTGAAATTACAAAGAATAAAAATCTGTAGTCCATGAATTAAATGTTAATCCTGATTTCAGAAATGGGTAAATCATAGCACATGGTTGACATGCAAAGAATCTTTAGCTTCCCAGCACTCTGGTTAGCTACCTTTAGAGAAAGCATAAATTATTACTAAAGTTTATGTAGAAAGACATTTAAATTTTAAAAAAGTACTTTCTACTCCCAAATTATTTACCTACCTTATTTTCCCAGCTCGTTGACAAAATGTACATTTAAGTTCCCATGTCTCTGAGTCCCATATTGTAACAATTTCCTCAAAACTAACTGCTAGTAAAGAGCCATCTTCAGAGAAACAACAGTCAGTTGCTTGGTATTTGTGGTAACTTCCCACAAAGTCACAGGTCCAGCCAACAGCTTTTTCTGTGTAAATACAGACCACAGGGTTCATAAGTAGTATAGATAACATTTTGGGGAAATTATAAGCAATAAGGATTAAGAAAGAAATAAACACAAGAAAAACCCCTGCTCCTCAAAATTTTAGTTAGAAGTGCTACAAGGCATTGACTGATTTGAAATTTATGCCTCTTCGTGGAGGCCTTGACCTCCCTCTAGTGGAACAGTGAAAGGACTACCTACAAAAACCTTTTTTACTGTACTCTCGCAAAATGGAATGATCAGCACATATCAAGAATGTCATAAAGTCCTGATTTGGTTAAAAATGTAAAAATATATACTATAGAATTAAATGTAAAAAAAATATCCTATAGAATTAAATGAGGTATAAAATGTCCTCCCAGAATGGGTACAATTCATGAGATAAAAATATATCAATTCTTAAAATTGTGCACTCCTTAGAAATACTATATTTAATTAACTTACTGTATATATCAGAATCATCTGTTAATATCCATACTTTGAAGTGACCATCTTTACTAGCTGTAACCAAGGTGGGGTTTTCAGATTTTTCTGCATTCCCGAAACAGAGAGCCGTGATGTGGTCTTCATGTGGCATGTTAACCTTTGTATTAAGAACAAACCTAGTAGGAAAGAAATCACCAATTTATTCTTACACCAGGACAACATAATATACTGTCATTTAAGAATTTCTTACATATTGAAACTTTTACAATAGAATCTTTTAAGGAGCAACTAATATATTATCACCTAGAATGCAAAGAATCGAGTGCCCTATTCTCTAACAGCCAGAGTGTAAAAAGTTCTAACACTTTATCTGTCTTTGTGTAACTTATGTAATATAGAGATGATTATGTATATGGTCACTTACTGGTACAAAATGAGTATAAAACAGAGGTCAACAAAAAATGATACTTGAAAGCCTACTGTACTAAACTCAGTAGGAAAGTTGTATAGAACATAGCTGCCTCACTACTTTTGAAAATAAGAATGGAACAACTATGAAAACTCCTACTTTTGGCAAGAAAATATAGGAAGAAAACTACTCAAACTGCCCTGGACAATATTTAATATTTATAATCATCCAAACTACCTCTCGAAGCTTGTTTCCAGCTTGACAGGGCACATCTGTGAATGAAAGACAATCGATGCTAGCACTGTGTTCTTTGAAGAACATCAAGGGAAGATAGTGTTGTGGTTTTTAAAAAGGTCAGGTTACAAGAGGGATGACTGGAAATCCCTCTGGGACTGTTTCCTCATGGACAACAGGTTTAAGTTAGTGTTCTTGCAAAGATTACTAAGACACTGGGTACTAAAGCACTAAGCTAGTTCTTGGCTCATGGCAAGGACTTGATAAATGGCTATTATAGCCATGGTATGAGAAACTAGTGGGCTCCTTATTTAATGTAAACACATGTTACACTACATTACACCTCCGTGGTCTACCACTGCCATTTTTCCAAAGAAGGTAGTATAATGTTAATAAAAGAGCAAAGGAACTTAAGACATATGGATTCTAATCCTAAATTTGCCTGGAATTACACATTATGTCCTTGGAGATGTCACTTTTCCATGTCTTCTCATTTATGCAATGAGACGTCATTTTAACTTGGACGATACCAGTGTTTTCTCAGAGCAGAAAGTTTAAAGGCTTTATTAGATGAGTAATATCTTCATTTCTCTAAATCTAAAACTTAGCAAAATAAAACATCTTAAAGACCAACAATTGATATCATAAAATATTTTCTACTTTGAAATTATATGGCTATATAAGTAGTTATTACCCTTGAGTTTTCTTATTATATGTCCACAATTTCATTTGCAATTCAAGCTCAGTTTCCTTTTCTTGACGTTGTTCCACCGTTGCAAGCCAGTTACCATAGCAGCCAAATGCAGCCTTTGTTAGCTCAATTTGGGTAAGACCGTAATCATTGATATATTCTTGCTGTACAATATCTAACTGATGGGTTTAAAAAAAATCCAAAATGTTTATTAATGTAAATACATAAACGTTAAAGCATTCAAGGAATGATAATTAACCACATCACACGTAACTAAGATCTACAGTCACAGATGTTTAGATAAAGGGAAAAATTAAGTAATAGTTATGGACATCAAACCTGCTCTTAAAAACATGGAGTACACTATACAGTACTAAATCAGTGGTGATTATTCTTCAATGACCTTGAATAGTAGATATGACTATGACCCATTTATATGCTACAACAGAACCTTTAGTTTATAGTAATGCTTTTCTCTTATTCCTGAGAACAAACAACTTTACAAAAATTCTCAAGACTAGATTCCACATCACTAGAAACATGAAGAGAAAAAATAAAACCTACAATTTTTAAGAAGTGAAAAAATATAGAAATGTTGTGAGTAGGCCAGCATTTTAATTAAAGTTCTTCCTTTTATCCCATTTCCTTGTCTATTTACTAAACATATATTAAGTGCCTACTATTTCCAGGCACTGTAGTAGAAATGTACACAAATCAGTAAGTTTCCTTTCTCTGAGGGGTTTAAAAGTGGAGAGAAAGAGGTAAGTGTTACAGCTCCTCTGATAGCAATCCATGAGTACTGTGGGGAACAAAGGAAAAAATGGGAAGTCTGGATTGCATTTATCAGGCTTACAGGAAGCATTCCTCTTTACACATTGAAAATTTTATCTTCAGTATGTTTACAGGACACTGGGTTCACCACAAAGAAGAGGCGTATTTGTATTGTCAACCAGATATTCTCATTTCCTATCCTTGTGACTCAAAGGCACAGATATGTGACAGATGTAGTCTAAAACAAAATAAAATAGACAAAGGAACCTGCACAAGAGTGCCATCTGGCTTTCATGTAGACTTAGTCTGCAACTGGGGCCTTAATAGAATTATGATGTAAACAACTGATAGTACTGACTGTTCGAGTAAGCACAGGCATAGGATCTTGTTTTAGAAGCCTCTAAATAAGTCACTTAATGCTGGTGGTGCTGTAAAAAACTTTCATTAGTCTTAAGGCTAGTTAATGAATCAAAATCTTACATTGTACAACTGTTTATCACTCTGGAGAGAATAAAACTGCAAGTGGCCAGGTTTTCCATTCAAAACCAAAGCTTTAGTTTTTGGATCAATCATCAAACCAGTAAAGATATTGCTGTCTGCAAAAGAAGTGATAAACAATAGCTGAAATCAGACAAATATTTACTTTAAAAATACATAATTCCAAATTCACTGTTTTGCAATACCTTTAACTAGACCTTGAATTACTGCGGATGCTTCAAGGTTTCGGTGAATGACTATTATCTCTGTGGGTAAAAAAAAAAAATAGTGACACATAAATAGTTCAGAACTTAAAGTTAGAAAAAACTTGAATTTATATTATATTTCCCTGAGTATGTTTAATTTACTTGGAGTGTTTCTAGAAAATCCGGAATATATTTTCTGAATTAACCAAAAAGTTTGGGGTGGAGATAGGGGGCTTTTCTATTAGAGTCTCTAGGTTTTATGAGTTGTGCCTAAGAGTACATTTTAAGTGTTAATTCAGAAACTTAAACACCTTAAAAGAGACAGATAATTTACTTTGAAATGTCACTAATGGATTGCGCACAGTTACGTTCTGTTTTGAAGGGAAAGGAGGCCATGGGCTGTGGGGTCTACATCCAGGCTGAGCACTAACAGGATGAGCAAAAGTTATGGAGAACACAAGGCCGCCTCCATTTCTGTTGGAATCTACAGGACTCTCACACTAAGATAATAGCTATCTCAAAGAAGAATCTCAGTGTTCTTTTTAAAATGCCATCGTATCGTGAAAGCATAGATACGTACTTCAAAACCCTTTTGTTACTTCCCCAAATCATTCTACATGAAAAGGTTTTGAAATATAAATGGCACAACAAAACCCAACAACATTTAGCTCTGTATTTTCGTAACAATTCTGAAAATGATGAATTCTGGTGGCATCTAAAGGGGTGAGAAAAAGAGGAGGAATGGAAGGGAAAAAAATGTTCATTAAATTTGATGCTATTCTTAATTAGTTTGAGGTCTCTTATTTTTTATTCCCTACAGATGCTAGGTAATTTAGGCATTAAACAAATATTTCCTCGCAACAACAAAGTGAGACGTACTATTATCAGAGTGAGAAGTACAGAACAAATCCCCTGCCGGTGAGACTGCGATATGCTCAATAGTAGCTCCTAAACGGGGGAGGAACTCCTTATTTTTCTCTGTTGCATCACGCCACTCTACAAGGACAGATTCACGACCACCACTCAGCAGACTGGTGCCTTCTCATCCAGCCAGCAAATGAAAGGACAGTATTTGGGGGAGAAAAATAGAAATGAAAATATAATTAACATCTTATTTTCCTGTCATATTAAAGAAATAAACTATTTTTAAAAATAAACAAAAAATGTGTCTTCATATTTTTTAATATACTCTCAAGACAAAAGATTTAAACATCATTGGTTCAGGAATTCTCCTTTCCAGTAGTATCTGACTAGTCTGTTGCTGACCAACTCTTCTGCTGATAACAAGAAAAACTGAATGAAACAAACATCCTCTAGGTCCAAATGGCTTCACTGGTGAGTTTTTCTAAATACTTAAGGAAAAAATAAACCTATTTTCACTCTTCCAAGTAACAAAAAAGAAAGAACACTTCCCAATTTGTTTCACAAGACGAGCATAATCCTATATTAAAACTAGCACATCATAAGAAAATTACAAGCTGGTTTCATGACAGATGAAAATTCCCAAACAAAATACTATCAGCAAGCTGAATCCAATGATATCTTAAAAAGATAAGGATAAGACAACATTGCAGTTAGTTTACTACAGGAATATGAGGTTATTTTAACATTTAAAAAAATAAAACAATTATGGAATAAATTTGTAGAATTAAGGGAAATCATGAGTTATCTTAATAGATGCAAAAAAAAAAACCAACCAACCAAAAAAACCCTCAAAACCCTAAAGAAAATTTATAGCAAAAATCATTTTAAGTGGTAAAATACTGAAAACCTTTCCCCTGTGACAGGGAACATTATCACTTTTATTCAGAGTAACTGGAGGTCCCAGTGCACTGGAATGAGACAAAGACTTAAAGATTGGAAAGAAGAAAATAATTATTTTAGAGTTCACACACAGCATGACTGGGTTCAAAACACAACCAAATAGTTTGTACTGTTCATATTTACCTTGACTTATAAACAGTTCTCAAAACTATAATTTGTATTTTGTTTTATACAGATAACTAATTTTTTTCTTCTATGAACTGTCTTATACCTATACAGGGTCAATACTGATATTTCACTGACAATCATGTACTATATTTAACTATAACTTCTCATTTGTAAATATTCACGACTTAAAATATAAAATCAAGACTTTAACTCCCTAACAGCCAAGATTAACTGCAGTACCTTCTACACCAAAGCTCTGGCTCAGGGTAGGGGCACTTTGTATTCCTTCTTTGAGTGCCAACTAATCCAACTATTTATTCCTTCTTCCCCAAATCTCACCTAAAAAGGTCAATACTGAAAGACCAAGGGCTTAAGGGTAAGTAAGGCCCTCAGAGAAATCTGTGGCTGCCAACTAGTATGAGAAGAGATGGATAATGTTAACAGAAAAGTCATAGTGACAATAAATATTAATTGATCTTAACCTTGACTTGGGCAGGGGCCACAGCAGAGAAAAACTTGAGGAGGAAGGGCAGGAAAAATGACCTTAGGTTAGGAGAGAACAAAGGCATTGCCAGAACATTACATATGTATGTACATATGGCGGTCATACATGCACTCATTTGTATTTTTGGGGGTTGGGCTGGGGAGGAGGGTAGAGAAGAGGAGCCTATACCTTTTATGTGCAGCATTAATATCCCCTTCCTTTTCTTTCTATTCTAAATTCCCACGTCACAACTGTACTCCCGCTGTACTACCTTAAGTGTGTTGAGCCTCACCCCCATATACCAGTCACTGTTCCCCAAATTCAAAGCACAAATAGGGTGAAGATGCCTCTTACTACTTCCCGAGGCTCCAGAAGTTAAGCCCAAGTAGCCCTGTAATGATCCAGAGCACAAGATATTATCTAAGACTTGTCCTGGTGGTCTTTAGATGACTTACAGAAAGAAAAATCACTTTCTCCAGGCATATACTCTTCTCTAGTATCCAGCTCCCTTTTATCAAGGCTAGTCAAAATAATACTGACCTAACTTTCACCATATAAGTGTGAGGGTTCTAAAAGTAACCAAAGACAACGTACTCCTCTATATTTCTGTTAAAGTTCATCCTATTTTCAAGGAGGTATTTTTACTCACTATAGCCACTCTCTTATGCCACTTAAATGGAACAAAGGTCTGAATTAAAATAAAATAGTAAATGTGAAGGAGGCAATCTAACAGTGAAAACATAAGCTTTTGAATTAGACCTATGTTTAAACCTCACTTACTAGCCATGTGACCTTAGGCAAGTTAGTTCTCAACTACAAATCTCATTTTCATCTACAAAATGAGAATAATGATACCCATTTTATAGAGTTAAGTGAGATAATGCAGGTTAAGCACCAGCATAGTACAGTCATTTGCTCCTGATGAACTGTAGCTACACTTATGGACAACAAACACTCAGCCACACAGACATTCATTTAAAAAAAAGTATTATAACTTAAATAGGTTCTTTCTTAATAAGAGAGACTATATCACAGCTGTACAGGATACTCTGAAAGGCTTTGAAACTTAAAGTATATGGTATTGTGCTGAGCAATGCCCAAAACAAAGGGTGATATACAAGAGTTTAAAATTCATTTGGTTCATGCAATTCTAAATATTTCACATTATAAATACAGTGAATTAAAATACTTGATTCACATACTTCAAAAGTTCATTTTAATTATTAAACTTGTACTTACCTGTCACTGAAAAAGCCAAATCCATAACCATATCATGGTGCCAATGTAGACATGTATATGTGTATTTCTTATTATCATCAAAATTCCTCCTACAGGAGAAAATAAAAAAATTGAATTTCACCCAAGTTCTAAGTTAGAAAAATAATGGTATGCCAAATATAATATAATGAACATAATATATGCCCAAAATAATCATGATATCAAGCTTATAGATCTTAATATGTAAAAAGTACATTTTCTATTTCTACAAACAACTGGACATTGAAGTGCCCTACAAGTATTTAGGTATTCCCTATTTCCACTTTTTACTTCGAGGCTGACAAAAAAATTGTCTTCAATAAAACTATAGGCAAAACCCAATTTTTCACTCTCCCTAAAAGCCCAAGGTTAGAAATCCTAAAATAGTTGTCTATTCCATGAAGAACAGAATGATATAAAAAAGGAACAATGTCAGCAAAGACTAATCTCTACTGTCAGCAGTGGCTCTTCAGTGTTATCCTTTTTCCCAGACCCAGAGGAAGCCCTGTTCTACAGGACTAATATAAAATAGTATATAAGTGATCACCATGCTTTTCATGAGTTAACTGACCAAAGACGAATTTTGCCATCCTTGTGACCAGTTGCTATGCAGTCTTCCTTTGGGTGGCATGCTACACATGTAAAATTGTTCTTAGCATGTTTCTTATTTCTTGATGATGATAAAGTAAACCTAAAAGAAAAAAATTTTTTCTTGATTATTAGTCTCTTGGTAAGTGGTGATGTAGTTAAGTAAAAGAAATTTCCCAGCCTTATCAACCAAAACTGGAGAGCTCTCAGAATTCACTGATTATAAATGAAGAATTTTTAAAAAAATTGTGATCAAAAATCAAGAATTTCAGTTTGTAAACATTTATTAATATACAATGTATGCCTCATGTGACTAACATTCTACCATACAACTTGTCTGTTGAGGCCACTGACACTGAAATATAGAAAAGACAGTCCTTTTAGTGGCTTTTTGCCTTGACAAAGTTTGTTCAAATTTTTTGGTGAAGCTAAGTTTTAGCATGAGATCTGCACAAGCCTAAGAAATTATTATCTGAGACAATTGGCTAATGTGTGCAAAGATGTCAGGAGCCTCCTTATACTGCAAAGAAAACAAATGCTGATATTGACAGGGTAAAAAGGAAGAGGTGACAGTGTCACTTGAAGAGTGACTACTCATGCTTAGCACTAGTCTTTTTAAACATGTTATCTCATTCATCCTTACAACTCTATTAGGAAGATATTATCTCCATTTAAAATATACGTTAATTTGAGGTACATCAAAGTTCAAATGGACTAATTTCGACTCATTTTAGATCCAGGTATTCCAATGCCTATGTTCATTCCTACAGCTATAATATAGCAACGATGATTAATTACCTGGGGAAGCCTTTCCAAATTAAATCCAATTTCGACAAAATCTGCACACTAAAATCTAGGTGTACAAAGGGTTTTGGCTAGAAAGTCTCCCCACGTTTTTGTGACTCATGATTCCTCAACCCTATCCATTGCGGGTTAAAAACTGGAATCTAAAAAACAAAGTAAACATAATGATGGTTGCCAGAAGGGAGGGGATTGGGGGCTGGGTGAACCAGGTGAAGGGATTAAGAAGTACAAATTGGCAGTTACAAAATAGTCATAGGGATGTAAAGTACAGCATAGGGAATATAGTCAATAATATTGTAATAACTATGTGTGGTATCAGGTGGGTACTAGACTTAGGGATCACTCTGTAAGTTACATAAATGTCTAACCACTATGTAAACCTGAAACTAATGACATTCAATAGTCAACTGTAACTGAAAAATAAAAATAAATTTTTAAAATGTGGCATAGTAATATTTGTCTTACAAAGCCATGTCACAGATCAAATAAAATGTCAAAGTCTGCCATAAGCCATAAATTAAAAATATAGTATTATAATTAACAGCTGACACTTATTAAATGTTACTAGGTATCAGGCCAAAAAAACCCCAATAACAAAAAAACTATTATCTTGTAGTTTCAAAGCATTTGTAACATGAAACTACTCAACAACTTTGGATCACAGATATGAGAATAAAATGAAATTATAAAAAACTCTTGAGTAAATAAAATAATGCTATCAAAAAGGAATTCTTACCTTGATGTTTTTTTCTTTTTAAAAAAATAAACCGATAAGTAAAAGTCCCGTACTGCAGCAACATATTCTCCCTGGTATTTCAAAGAGAAGATAACATTCACAAAAAAAGTTAACACTCTTTAAAATGAAATATTCTCATCACAAAATCTAATACAACAAAATGGCTGAGTAGGTAAATGCTGTGCTCCCTTTCTCCCATGACCACCTCAAAATACGACTGAACTATAGAACCATCATCATTGAGAATTGCCTGAATTCTAGCTGAACAGAAGTCCTATAATGAAGGACATCTAGAGGAAGCCACAAGACTGGCAGGAGGGGCAGAGATGCGGAATGGGCTAGTCCCACACCCATATGTGGCAGGTAAAAATCAGGAGGGATATCTCAGCTGCACAGGTCCCCCCTGAGGACGGAAGGGGTCCCAGTCTCATACCAGGATGCCTGGCCCAGGGTTCCAGTGCCAGGAAGAAAACTCCCCATAACTTCTGGCTGTGAAAACCAGTGGAGATTGTGGTTGCTGTAGTTTCAGGCATTTCTTTAGTCTGGCTTCAGGGTAAGGACTGGAGAGGGAGGGTTCTCCCAGACAGAAGTGCGGCAGAGCCACTGTCCCTCTGTTGAGTTCTCCCCTCATTCAGCATGCACATGCAGGCATGTGCTATAGCTGGGTCTCCAACCTGGCTAACATTATTCACCTTGCCCTGGCAATTCTCTGAGACCCTGTCGCACTCAATTTGTTGGCCCACCCAAGCCTCGTCCAGTGGCTTTTCCATACAAACGACCTGTCTTGGCTCATGCTGTGGACTTTCCTAAAATGCCTTAAAGGTTCATAAACCCCAAACAAGCAGCATTTGGCCTTGCTGTGCCCTGTACTTCTTACTAGTGGCAGCTGGCCTGTTTGCAGCTTAGCCTCTCCAAGGCACCTCCGAGAGCAGCACAAGTGGCCAACATCTGCATATCACCTTGTAGCTTACAACAAGTGGCTCTGGGCAGGGCACAGGCAGTGGCTGACCTTGGCCTGCACCAGAGCCCCTCTCAAGAGGCCCCAGAACCAACACGTGGGGCGGCCAGCTTCAGACCATAGCAGAGTATCACTCAATGACCTCTACAAATGACATATCCAAAGGGCAGACTTGGCAGGCACCAAAGCCCTGCTAAAGTGAATCCTGTTCTATAGGGTCAGCCCCTGTACAATAGTTCCTCCACTGCAGTGACTCCCAGTCCTCACAATCAATCAGCCTGAGGGTCAATCCCTCTCATTGGTGTGCAAACAACAACCAAAGCTCAACTGCAACAGGGCCCACACGACCCACGCAAAGGACACACCTGGAGCACCCAGGTGACCATGGAGACTGTGCCACTGGGACCCACAGTATACCTACTACATATGGCTATTCTACTAAAACTAGAAGACACAGCAGCTTTACCTAATACATAGAAACAAACACAGGGATGTGGCCAGAATGGGGAGACAAAGAAACATGTCCCAAATGAAAGAACAGAACAAAGCTTCAGAAAAAGAGCTAAACAAAATGGAGGCAAGCAACCAACCACATGCAGAGTTCAAAACACTGGCTATAAGGATGCTCAATGAACTCAGGGGAAGAGTAGATGAACACAGTGAGAACTTTAACAAAGTGATAAAAAACATAAAAGTGGAGACAGAAAACATAAAAAAGAACCAGTCAGGAATGAAAAATACAGTAATTGAAATGAAGGGAATCAACACTAGATTAGATGAAGCGGAGGATCAAATCAGTGATTTGGAAGGTAAGGTAGCAGAAAATTACAATGAGAACAGCAAAAAGAAAAAAGAATCCAAAAATATGAAGATAGCTTAAGAGGCCTCTGGGACAACATCAAGTGTACCAACATTCATATCATAGGGATGCTAGAAAGAGAAGAGAGAGATCAAGGAATTAAAAACATATTTGAAGAAATAATGACAGAAAACTTCCCTAACCTGGTGAAGGAAACAGACACACAAGCCCAGGAGTGCGCGTCCCACACAAGATGAACCCAAAGAAACACATATCAAGCCACATCATAATTAAAATGCTAAAGGTTAAAGACTGAGAGAAAAGCTTAAAAGCAGAGAAAAGCAGTTAGTTACCTACAAGGGAGCTCCCATAAGGCTGTCAGCTGATTTCTTAACAGAAACTTTGCAAGTCAGAAGATTGGTACAAAGCATTCAAAGTAATGAAGAGCAAGGACCTACAACCAAGATTACCCTACCCAGCAAAGTTATCACTTAGATAGAGTTCAAGGACAGATAAAGAGCTTCCCAGACAAGAAAAAGCTAAAGGAGTTCACCAATACCAAACCAATATTACAAGAAATGTTAAAGGGACTTCTTTAAGAAGGGGGAAAAATAACATAAAATGAGTAATAAAATGACAATAATTACATATCGACAATTACTTTTCATGTAAATGCATTAAATGCTCCAATGAAAAGACAGAGGGCTGAATGTATAAGAAAACAAGACCATTACATATGCTACCTACAGGAGACTCACTTTAGATTGAAAGACACAGACTGAAAGTAAAAGGATGGAAAAAGATATTCCATGAAAATGAAAATGAAAAAAAAAAAAGAAGTTGGGGTAGCAATACTTATACCAGACGAAACAGACTTTAAAACAAAAGCTATAACAAGAGACAAAGAAGGACAAACTAATTCCACTTCTGGGTATTTATCTGAAGAAACCTAAAACATTAATTCAAAAAGAAATATGCATTCATATATACAGCACTATTTATAATAGCCAAGATATGAAAGCAACCTAAGTGTCCATCAATAGATGAGTGGATAAAGAGTTGGTATATATACATAATGGAATATTACTTAGCCATAAAAAAGAATGAAATCTTGCCATTTGTGACAGCATGAATACACCTAGAGGGTTTTATGCTAAGTGAAATAAGTCAGACAGAGAAAGATGAATACCATATAATTTCGCTTAAATGCGGAACTTAAAAAACAAAATAAATAAATAAAACAAACAGATACAGAGAATGTTTTGATGGCTGCCATATTGGGGAGGGTTATGGGGCATGTGAAAAAGGGTAAGGGATTAAGAAGTACAAACTGGTAGTTACAAAGTAGTCATGGGGATGTAAAGTATAACATAAAGGATACGGGTAATAATATAATAACTATCTATTTATGGTGTCAGATGGGTTATCGATTGGTGTGATCACTTCATAAGTTATATAGATGTCTGTCTAAGCACTATGCTGTACACCTGAAACTAATATGTTGTATGACAACTGTAATTGAAAAATAAAGTTATTTTAAAAAATGCTGTTCCAAAGTCGGGGACAGAATATATTAAGAGGAAAAAAATTTAATATAGCAATAATTTTTTTGCCTATTAAGAGTATATTAATATATTACTGTTCTATAGAAAGGGTAATCCTACTTTTAAAATAATCATAGAAAATTAAAAGATGAACTGAGGTCCTAAATCCTAAAACTAGGCTATCTAGCATCAAGTATAATGATTTAAATTTTTCTATTAAGGCATAATTTATGCACAATAAAATGCAATGTTTTACATGTGTGTATATCCATGTAACCACCACCACAGTCAAGAGTTAGGACATTTTCTTCACCTCTGGAATGTTCCCTTGTTCCAGTAATTCCCCAATGCCCCCATCCCTGCCAGCAACTACTGATTTCTATCACCATAGTTTACTTCTTTGCGTATTACAGACGTCAAAAGTATAGAATCGTACAGTAAATACTTTTTCGTGTCTGAACTCTTTAGCTCAATATCACCTTTTTGAGATTCACCCATGTATCTTTACATGTATCATTAGTTCCTTTTCATTATGAAGCAGCATTCCAATGAATGAATATACTGTATATCACAAATAGTTTATTCTCTTGTTGATGAACATTTGGATTATTTCTATTTTGGAGCTATTGTGAGCATTAATCATTCCTGTACATGTCATTTTGTGGTTATATTCTTCTCCACTTAGGAGTGGAATTGTTAGGTCACGAAAAAACTATATGTTTAACTTTGCTCCATATTTTGCCAACACTAGGTACTGTCAGTTTTTTAAATGTTAACTGTTCAGGTGAATATGAAGTGGTATCTCACTGTGATTTTAATGTGCATTAGAATGATGACTATAAGGCGGAAGAATGATTTTATGAAGAGTTTTTTTCTACTCTAAGAAATTAACCCTTTTCAAAACAAAGCCAAAATAATGCTATAAAATTAAAGAAACATGTTGCCATATTAACATCTAGGGCCTTTTGGTGGTACTCGATTTTAATAAAGTGACTATTAATAGGGGATGGCTAAATAAATTATGGTTTAAATATCATAAATCATTTCTGATGAACATTTAAGTACACACTCATGCTACGATGTTAAGTGAAAAAAATAAAAGAGACTTCAGACACTAATTTAGTTTGGGAAAAATTATTTTATATATGTTTAGAAAAAAGTCTAAAAAAGATTCCTCAAATATTATCACTGGTGATAATTAATTCCTTCATTATTATTTTCCTATAATTTCAAAATTTCCTATAATGGGCGTATTAATTAGACAGGGAGGTTGTATTTTCTAGACACATGGTCTAAACTGAAAAGATTTAAGTGGCTTTTACATGTGATAGACTAGGAAATACAGCATAAATGCCAAAACACTGATATGTTTTATACAATTAGAGGCTTCGCAAGAGCACTAAGACAATATACAAAATTAGGATGGTCCTAAAAATCTATGCCATCAACACATGCTAAAGTAGTGGAACAGACTTCTTAGTTACTAACAAAAATATTGTAACTCAAGGCAAAATCAAATCACTATAACAGAAAATGTTTGGAGGAAAGACTGCAGGCAAGAGATTTTATGTACAAAAAAAAAAAAAGATCAACAAAACAAGTTTACCTCATTTCCAAAGGCAATGCACTTGGGTGACTGGTTTACATAATCCAAAACAAAGGAGACCTCCTCAGCTTCTACTTCTTGGCTTGATGATTTTGGCAGTTTCACTGAAACCAGCTGAAATATATCTAGCCAAAAATATTTATATTAATATAAAGCCTCCCTAGTAAAAGTAAAGACATGCGTTCATCATATGAAACTGTTAACCAGTACTCTAGTATTAATTTGATGTCAAGATAATAATTCTATGCTATCTTGAACAAAATGTTCCTTTTGAACTCTTCATTTGAATATACAAGTTTAAATGAAGTCTAATTTCATAACTCATATACATACATGCTCCATAGATATAGAAATAGAAAACAATGGATATTACTGGTACACTGAGATTTAAAATGGAGATGAAATAGGCATTGGTGAACCAAACAGCAAAAAGCAACAAAGCATCTGCGAGAGTTTTTAGAAATGCTATGGACTTGCCACACATTCATAGAATAAATCTTTTTCTGTAATATTGACACACTTCTTCTCTTTACATCCCATTTAAAAAATTTCTCTGAGAGGGGAAACTGCTATATTTCACTATGCTCTCTCTTTAGCCTCCTAGATTTAATGAATATAAAATTCTCTAACACATGGATCTACCGTTTTCCGCCAGCTCATTATATGCTCTGAACTCTTGATTTTTCTAGCTTTATCAGTCATCTCAAATTTTACATGCCCAAATCCCGAACTCTCCCTTTACTTTCTAAACTTAGTCTTCCCCCACATTGCCTACTGTGGGAAATGGCACTGCCATTTACCCAGGTGCTTAGATGAAGTCCTCGAGTCATCTTTGACTTCTCTCTCTTACTTACATCAAGCCATCAGCAAACCCTGTTGGCCGTATCTTCAAAAGATACCCAGAATTCAATCCCTTCTCACCACCTCTGCCACTACCACCTAGTCTAAAGCTATGTTCATGTGTCAGATCCTAAGTGTTAGGAGCAATAACCTGTTAATAGTTCTTTCTACTTCCACTGTTGTCCCTCTTTAGTCTATTCTCAACACAGAAAGTAGTGATTCTTTTACAACTGAGTCAGATCATGTCATTCTTTTGCTCAAAATCTTTCAATGACTTTTTATCTACTTAGAGTAAAAGCCAAAGTCCTTCCAATGGCTCATAAGGCTCTATATTATCTATTCTCACTTAGCTCACTCTAATCCAGCCTCCCTGCTATTCCTCAAACATGCCAGGAATGCTCTAGAATATGCATCTCCAATATGGCTCATATCTTATTCTCCTCCCAGGACCTTCACTGACCACTTCTTTAATATGTATTCCTCCAGTGTTGCTGATTCTCCTCCCTGATATATTTTTCTCTAGAATACCTTTCATCTTATTGTATCACATGACTGTTCTATTCTAGTCAGCCTACTGTTGGGATTTATTGTCTGTTTTGTTCTCTACAACCAGAATAGTATTTGAACAGTAGGTGGTCAATTAGCTGTTGAATGAATTAATTACAGGCAGTGAAGAAATGACACCATAAAAGATAATGTATAAATAAAAGATTAATTTGTGTTTAAACCAGAGAAGCATATTTCAATGATTTATACAATTTTCTATCAGAGACTCTGGTTTTGAACTGATGAACAAAGATGAAACAAATGAAGAAAGGACATATATTTATATAAAGTTGACCCTTGAACAACATGGAGTTTAAGGGTTATATCCCCTGAGCAGTTGAAAATCCATGTATAACTTTTGACTCTCCCAAAACTTAACTTCTAATAGCCTATTGTTAACCAGAAGCCTTAACAATAATATAAAGGTTAACACATATTGTGTGTATGTATTTAATACTGTAGTCTTAAATAAACTAGAGAAAAGAAAATGTTATTAAGAAAATCATAAGGAGATGAAAATACAGTTACAATATTTATTGAAAAAAATCTGTAAGTGGACACACACAGTTCAAACCCACTTTGTTCAAGGGTCAAATGAATATTTTGAGACACTAGTCACACAGAATCTTCTAAAGCCTGTTTCACATTTTTATGTAACAGATAAGTAGATTTTTACATGCTGAGTGCCCGTGATGTGCCAAAATACTGCAGAATAATGCTAGATCACAGTATAAATAAAATTTGGATTAGATTATAGCATTTGAAGTTTCCACAGTTGGAACCTTGGTCAAAAGGCTGATGACCAAGATCTTTACTTTAGATCAGTAGTTTGCTACCCTGGCTTACACATTAGACTCAAGTGGGTACTATTTCAGTAAACAATTATGCCTCACCACAGAGAATCTTAACATTTTAAGTTCCTTGGAGTGATTCCAAAGTGCAAGCAGTGTTAAGAATCACTGGTTTCACTGATATGGATAAAAAGTTTTGTTTCTGCTATTGGCAACTACCCTTCCAGTTGAGGAATCATGGGTGAGTATGAAGAATGCTTATCAAATGTGTGTGATGAGAGAATCACCTGGGAGATAGATACTAACAATGCAGATTGCTAGACTAAATCTCAGACGTAGTTAATCAACTGTCGGTCAGGGAGATTAGGAATCTGAATTTTTAGTAAGCATGTGGATAAATGTTAAAAATCCACTATTCATCTACAAAATAGAACCTACATAGCGAGGAGAGTTACCTTGAAAGTAGTCATGTGGGAAGGCAACTTAATTATTTTAGAATGTTGCCATTTCCAGAACAATTTTTGGAATGTCCTTTATAGATGATTTATGGACTATGTAAGAAAAATGAAACTTACTGCTTTTTGTTATCTCATATCACATTTTTGATAAGATACAATATTATTAACAGACTTGGCATCAAATGACTTTTAGCTTAAAAAAAAAATTTAGCTTTCATAGATTAGACTATTCTCAGGTTATTTAAAAATTCATGGGATATAATAATTGATAAATGTTCCAGCCAAAGAAACCCCAAACAAAACCATAAAACAAACATACAACACTATGGAAGGATTCCCGTAGCTAATGAGCCGTAAACCAATCTAGCTGACTGACTTGTAACCACCTTAAAGCTGCTTTGTACTTTGAATTCTGAATACAATATTTTATGGAAGACACCACAAGGTGCAGTGGTGCAGTAGCATTCTTGAATTTTGAGATTAGAAAAGTTCCTTGGATATATCCTTTATGTCAATATTCTGATGCACTAAATTCTCTGCTAAAGGATAATTACTTATACCACTGAAGATATTCTAGGAATTCCTAAAATGCTCTGAAACATGGTAGTTTCAATGGTTTTATGATCTAATAATAATGAAAACATAATTAATAGAAATTTAGTCACATTATCAGTCAATATCAACCTGTTTTCTATACCTTTTCCTACAGATTCAAGATCGACATATAGGGGTGTCCCATGGGGTCAAATGATAGTGATGTTTAAGAATGAAAGATTTAAGTTCAGTAGGAAGATAAATTCTAGCTCAAAACAGCTTTAAAATTTGAGCTCTTCAGTCTATTATTACAACCATTTATAATCATTCCCTCATTGTATGTTTCATAAATTATATAAAGCCTCTCCAAAATGAATGCAACAATAAATGAAAACAATTTAAATAACTCCAAAAATTAACTTCAGACTAAAACCAAAATGTTAAATTTGAGAAAATGTAAAGAGCCACTCAATGCTATAGAAAACAAAATAAACTAATTATAATATACCTGGTTTGTCTTTATTTATTATAACAAAGACAGAATCCTCAGCACGGGCATGAGTAAAGAGGGCATGAAGTTTATGTCCAACTATGAAAGTCTGAAAGATAAAAGGCACCATATTGTTACAGATCTACCTGTTTCTTTTTAACGATTACATTCTATTGCATGAATATCAAATTTTAATTGACATCAAGATTATATGTAATTTTTTTCAACCACAAATGGTGTTTTAAGGACTACATATTTATGCTATTATTTCAATAAGAGATTCTTTAAGGTAAGATTGCTGGAGCAAAGGTATTTATTCAATTTCAGCTTTACTCTCATTGACTGTATACAAAAGTATCAGTTTCTCTACACTTTACCTATCAATCTGAAATTTCTGCAATCTGAAATTTGGCTAGACTACAGGGAAAAATGCTGTTATCTGTTTTAATTTACATTTAATTATTAACAAGGTTAAGCATCTCTTCATGTTTATTGGCTATCTCATATTTTCTTCCCGCTTTATTGATCATCTGTTAGAAGTTTAAAATTTTTACAGTCGAATTTGTCTATTCTTTTGTGGTGTGTGAATTTTACAACTTGTTTAGGAAGGCTATCCAACAATCAGGCCTTCTAGAAGTAATATTTCAGTCATTAAATTATGTTGTCATGTCTGTCATTAAATTATGTTGCCATTCCTTTTCATGTAATGAAAATGGAAGATTGATCTACATACCTTTATCAAAATGCCATCTATATAGTCCCACAGTTTAATTGTGCCATCAAAGGAACAAGAATACAGCTAAAAGGGTAAAAATAGTACAAAATTGATTAAAAAACAGAACTTCATTAAGATACCAAATGAATTAAGTGCCGATACAGAAGACATTTCATTCATTAATTTATTGCTAGCTTTGGAGAAGTGGAGTCATTTATTTACATAGTTTTTGCAAAGCTTATATTGTTTGTGACCATCTTATCACAGCTCTTTGGAGGAAACAGATCATCGCTTTCAAGTTTTAATTAAAATGAGGGGAAAAAAGCCAACCCTTTATCTTCAAGAGGGAGATGGCATGGTTGCACTTAAGAGCTTGTTGCTAGTTTTGCAGAGCCTAGTCCTTTTTATTAGCAGAACTACTTTCGTCTTATATGGGTATTAAAGGATTACTTCTAGAATGATCTGAGAATGTCTTGTTTTTTTTTTTGTTTGTTTTAAATTCAGAACTATCAAGGATCAATACTTTAGAAGTTATTATGTATTTGGATACAGTGGCAATGTCAAAGTGCTCTAGTTTTGCGATATTCAATTTCTATACTTATCTCACTGCAAACTGGTAACTATTTGTGGCAATGGTTTGTGGACCATACTTTGGTACCACCAGAAGGCCTCAGCAAGACATTTTTATTTTTAGACACAGGATTTTTTTGTTGCTGTTACTGTGAAAACACTTTGCTTATAACATTTATAAATCATTTTAAGTTTTTTGAAAGGAAGTGGCAATTTTAAGATTTCTGCCAATAAGGACAATCAGGAATAGAAATAAAAAATGATGAAGAAAATATCTGAGTAAAAGAACTATATTAAGTAGAAAATACACATTAGAATTACTACATATAAGAATCATGAACATGGATTAGTAAAATATAAGGCAAATATTTAATCACTGTCAAAACAATAGTTAATACACAAACATTGTGAGTCCACAGAATTTCTGGAAGCTAACTCACCTCAATCAGATGTTAAAATTGTCCTCTAATTTTATCATTTTTCAGTTCCATGAAATATACCTTTTGTGTAACTTTTATATAGTTTTTCGTTGTGCTATAAAACTTAGTAACACAGACTTCACAAATTCCAATTTGAATGAAAGGATATTTCTGCTACAAAAACATTCAAATGCTGCACATAACAATCAGCTGTTATCTGAAACTCTCAGAGGACAGTATATGTGCTAGAACTCTGCAAAAAGCTATTTAACTTTGATTTTTCAAGAGTAGTGCATTTAGTTTTGGAGAGAAAAGATAAGTATTCCTTTATGCCCTACTTCCTTTGTGATAATGCACTGAATGGCAATGCAAATCTATTCTTAAATCAATAACTTCTTTGCCTTGAAAAGTGGAAATTGATCAAAATCTAGAGCAAGAGAAAAGTATTTTTAACCTAACTCTTTAGTAGATTTGATGAAACTTATGAACAAAATCAAAATGGCCATTTCATTATTCTTGAATTCTGAAAAGCAAGGGTTGCTTTTAGAAGGAATGGGGGAAGGCCAGACTAAACTAGATTCCCAAGTTTGTCCTAAAATTAACTGGTCAATCCACTGACTGAAAAAGCCCTTATTCTTGTCTAGATGCTAGCCTTAAGATTAGGTAATTTCTACATTAATACTAAAGAGCCTCGTCTCTAAAAGAACAGATCTATGAAATCAATACCTTTTGGTTAACATTTTAAAAATGTGTTCCAGAAATCAGAGTTCAGAGGTCATATAAAGAAGTTTGAGAAACACCAAATGCTAAATGCCCCTTTTGGATAGTTACAATGCATATAAAGGGACCTGAGAAGACCAACAATCGAGAAATTCACTCAACTGAGCCAAATTTCAGAAACTCATACAGCTAAGAACCCCTTTGTGGGCAATGTAGTTCTGGGCCGTGACCTTATTTTAACAATAAAAATAAGTGAAATATCTTGAATCAGAAAGATAAACACATATATTTCCCTGATCATATGCTGGAAAGTTTCCCAGTCAAATTTAATTCAAAATTTTCTGGCAACAATAAAGCCAATATTAAAATATTCAATTATAAGTGATTTGACACCTGTAGATGGTTGTTGGGGTTGAGCTGAATTCCTGTCACCAGATTTCTGTGTCCTTGCAATATATGTACACATTCTTCTGTAGCTGTGCTATAAACTTTAACAAAGTCTCCAGATACACAGAAGATATACCTAGAAATAAGAGAGAAAAATAAGTTTCACAAACTCATAAACAGTATAATCTTTTTACTGCCTATTAAAAATTTTTTTAACATGCAACAGGTTTCTTTCAAACAACAGTTTAAGAACTGTATATTCACATTTGTGTGCTGTTTAAGTCTATGGGGATATCTAAGACTGATTAGTTTACTAACTCTGAAAAGTAGATTAATGAGGCCAAAGCATATCTGTGACCGGTTCCATGGACAGAGGCTCTACAGATTCATTCGGCAATAACAGCCAATTTAACCATGTTGTCTGTTCACTAATGGACTCAGACACTGTGCTACGCATTCACTCACTATCAGCTGTTATGATTCAGTGGTTTTGCTAACAGCAGTCTTCCCATGTCCCCCAGCTCTCATTTACTGGGGATACCAGCTTACCAACACTAAGTCAAAAGTTCTCTCTAGTCAGTGAGGCCTTTTGTAAAACAAAGTAAAAAGACTTCATGGCAGTTCTTTTCTTGTTGCTAAAATGCTGGTTTTGCTTTTGTCTTTCTGGATTTGTCTACATTGTACATATCGAACAGTGTTTTTCCAAATACTATAGAAGGTACAAATCACAGTCTTTAGGCTGAACCTCATCTCTGTGCTCCCAAAGTACCTCATGCATTACCTGATCCTGGTATTTTCATATCGTGTTGAAATTACTTGTTTACATCTATACTATCTCCCGTATCTGACCATAATATCCTATAGAGCAGAGGGCTGTTTATCTTTGATTCTCAAAGCCCAATACAGTTAATTGAACAGAACTTGCCTGAACCTCCAAGGTTTTATAAACTAACCAGATAAAATGAATCAATAAACAATTATTATAGATAATAAGAGTAAATCTTCTGATGCTGACTGGGGTCACTATTATTTTATCAATTCAAAGACACCTGATTTTTCACATGTTCATCTCTCTGAAATCAAGATGCATCATATAAGGGCTGTAGCCAGGAGGCAGCCATGGCATGGTTGTGTGCAACTGTTTAAAAAGATCAAGAAAGTATGAGTAACAAAGCAACTGAGGTATATGGTCTCCTCTCTGGCTGGATCCTCCTCTCCATTCCCCTGAGTACCTTAGCTCAGAGTCTTAACATCTCCAGGCTGGAAGACTCTAAAGCAGAGGTCCCCAACCTTTTTGGCACGAGGGACCGGTGCTGCTATGATAATCTAATGCCTGATGATCAAAGGTGGAGCTGAGGCTGTGATGCTAGCTAGCACTGGAGAGTGGCTGCAAATACAGATGAAGCTTAGCTTGCAGCTCACCTCCTGCAGTGCGGCCCAGTTTCTAACAGGCCACTAACTGGTAACCAGTCTCTGGCCTGGGGGTTGGGGACCTCTGCTCTAAAGGACTCCCTACAGTGTTCAGGCGTAGCCCTTTATTTAATCTTTCTTATTCATGTCAGACTAATTTTGCAAATATGACCGTATCACTTAAATAGAGATAAAATTAAAATCCTTCAATGTTTTCCCACTGCCTTCAGGATATGATCTAAATTCCCTAAAGTCTTTGGTGGTTTGACCCTGTCTGACTGGAACTATTTTTTCACTATAACAGTGTTAAGTGGTTCACAACTCCAACAATCCCTGCCCAAGACACACCTCATTAGTAACAACAAACAGGTTCTTTGGGCAGCAGTTTCCTTGAGATAATGGTGGGTGAGGGGTTACTATTTGCCAAGAAAACGCCCTTTAATTGATTCTGATATGCTTCCCCAGAGGAAAAATATTTGCTTTCTTATTGCTCCTCAGCTGAGAACGATGGCTTTAACTATTTGAATGCAAGCCCCTGAAGGAAACTTTCCATGCTTCTGCATATTCTGCTATCTACACAGAACACTTACTCTTTCTGACTACTCTAAGATTCAACTCACTGTATTTTCACTGCAAGCCTTCTCTCATCTTCTCATTCCAGATCAGCACCAGTTCTACTGTGCTTTGTACAGGATGGTGAGCTTAGCTCTATCATAGCATTCACCACGGGGCATTATGAAAGAGACTGTGAGCTCCTTGAGGGAAGGAACTGGGTATTTAGTTATTATAAATAATAAAAGAAATACTGTATGGTAGAAAAAGAATGCATGTTTAAGAAGTCAAACACAAATGGGTTCAAATGCTAGCTTTACCATGTACTGGCTGAATGATGTTGGAGAATTAATCTCTCTAAATCTCACTGTTCCCCATTGTAAAATGTAAATAATACTTTCTTCATAGTGTTTTTATGATTAAATGAAAGAATGCATGCAAATGTAAGCTTAGCACACACAGAAAACACTCAATAAATGCTTTGGTAAAATGAGAATACCTAAACCTTGCCAAAAGGAATGTGTACAAAGCACCCACCACAATGCCTGTCTCACAGGATTCAATCGTCTTTTGATGAAGTAGTGAAGAAGTTAGGGATGTTTTCAAGCAGGAACCTGGATTTAAAAGAGACTCTGAAGGACGAGCGATTTAAGGGCTGGGCAGGAAAAAGTAAAGCAACATAAGGGGAAGCAGGGAAATAATTAACACGGTACCTATCAGACAGGGGCTGTACCTATTTAATAAGAAAAGTGTGCATGATGGTTAATTTCAGGAAACACAATTGGAGTAGAGTTGAGCTAGCTGGCCCTGAAAGCCAGATAGAAAAGCTATGATTAAGGAAGGAAACTGAAGAACTACAGGGTTCTTAGCAAGACTAGAAATAAGGGTTAAGGTAATAATGTTATGATAGTAACACTTAAGGAAAATTATTACAGCAGCAGTTTCCAGAATGATCTTCAAGATGAAATATTTAGGGTCAGGGACATAGCTTTGTGCTAATTTAGGAACGTAAACGGCAAGAATAACCCATATTTTTGATTTTGTATACCATATCAACCTAATGCTATAATGCATAGCACCTATAACTGTGAGCAGCAACAAGATATGGGGCAAACAGTGCTGGACTGGGGGGTCAGTAATATCTGACATGGGAATGCCACGCACTTTCATGTACATCCACTTTTCTGCTTCCCTCTAACAACCCACTCAAATAGGCAGAACAGTTTTTGTCCTAGTTCTAAGAGGATCTAGCGACCAAGAGGAAGATGCTAAAATCCCACAATTCTGTTGTTTCATTTACTGTATCAGCTTTCTTGATAAGCTCCTTGAGGTAAAATACAAAATTATCTTATTCTCTTTGTATAAGCTCATCAATCCTTTTCAGATAATATTCAAATCCTTGGTGAGTTCATTATAACCCCATTAATTTGCTAGAGAACTGGTGTTATTAGCTTCTATGTAGATGACACAAAAGCACCATCTCTAAATCATGGCCAAGTTCTCAAACTTTCTGAATTTCTACCTATTATTTAAGGTTGTTTTACAAGTACCTTAAATTCAATAGGCCCAAAGGGAACTGAACATTTTCTCCTTCTTAATGCTAATTGCTAAATCATTCAAAAACTCTTCATCTTCAATCTCATCTTAGTTCATGCCAGAGTCACGGCCTGCATTAGCCTTCCAAGCTCTGGTCTATACTCTTCCAGATTCTTCTCCCACCACTTTCCTATACCTTATGCTATACTATACTTATTTTACACACATGACACCCCCTCATCCCAATTTCAAGGTGTTCATTTTGCCTGGATGCCCTACCCCAATATCACTGGTGGGGCAAACTCCTTAGTCCTGCAAGATCCTATTATTGAAGGGAAAGTTTCATTGTGTAACTTCCTCTTTTATGCCATTACTATACCTTGAGTATGTATGCTAGCTTTCATCTTTACACTCTCCCAACACATATTATATAGTTTTCTACAAAGATTAATATTTTTGAGGAAACACAATCATGCCACTGCCACCTTATCAAAAGAATACCCAAGAGCCAGCCAGCTCCATGTTCCTTTTCCAAACTCATTTCCCACTAGCTCTCTTTCTATACCTTTCCTACTAGCTAATTGTATCAGCCTGTTCAACATAAATAGACTTCTTCTCTTGCTTATGCAGACATAGCTTGTTTTATTGAGCTTCATCTATTGTGCTTCATGCACGTGGCGAATTTTACAAATTGAAGGCAAGACCCTACATCAGCAAAAAGGTTATGACTTGCTTTACTGTGGTGGTCTGGACTGAATCCACAGTATCTCGGAGGTATGTCTGTTTGGTGCTCCTATGTGAAATGCCTTCTGCCCATATCCCCTAGTCACAATATCATTTGCCTATCTAGGCCTAATGTAAATGTCACTTCATCAGGAACTTTTTCCATCCTTTTCAGTTTAAAGTATTCTCTTTTTATTAGCTCCCCAAGTACCACACCATGAAACATGTTACTGAGTATTTTATTTTCCTCACTGGACTGTAAGGAGCATCAATATTGAAATTATATTAGTTTTTGTCATCTGTTTGTTTAAATAATACATAGCTAATAAATACTTAAAATGAATTGTGGAACTTAGCAAATGAAACACAACGGATCTCAATATAATAATATGTAGAAACAGCACAATGAAGGAAGAAACTGGAAACCTAAATATAAGTCCAAAGTGGCGACTTTTGGGCAACCTCTTGAAGCCTTAGTTTCTTCCTCTGATTCATGAGTATCAATCAACAAAGATCTTTTTACTATAAAGACCAAAGATTCAATATATTTTTTCGCCTCTCAGGCAATTTATGAACGCTCCTTCACTCAGTCGTGCATTTAACAACTATCAGCCATACATCCATAAGTGAGCAACTGTAGGGGATACGAACTTTCATAGGACTCTATTTCTACTCTTCTAAGATAGAGTTTTTACTATTTTTTATTCTATCCTTACGTGATTTGAAAAACTTTCTACAATGTGTCATTTCTACATGATACTGGCAATATATCACTAATGATGACAGCTGACACACACACCATTAAGTGCCAGGAACTGTTTTACGTGGTGTATGTATATTAAGGGATTTAATCCTCAAAACAATCCTGAGTTGGGTTAATAAATATTATTCTCATTTTACAGATAAGGCAAGTAAGACAAAGATTAATAAACTTGCAAAGGTCACACAATGTTAGAACCAAGTTTTGAATCCAGACAGTAGTTTGGCTTGCAGCTACACTGAATATCTGAGAAGGATCAGGGCTTACGTATGCTTTTATCGCGCAAAGAATCAAACATCACTTTTCACTCAAAGCTCCAAAAAGGTTGCCAAAATGCAAGCGGGGGTAGGGGGTAGGGGGTGGAGGGTGTGGGGAGGGAGGGTAGAGGAGTGTGGAGAAAAAGGAATCTTTAATCGTTCAGTAATTCCAAGCCACGACTCCATCCGAAAGGATACTCCTCGTGGTACTGCAACCGCGGCAGTGTACACATCCGTGCCTGAACCATCTTTTAGCCGAGCTGACTGTACACACGTGGGTCCGCCCCTGGGCCCCTCAATCTACCTGCTGGTAAACCGCACCCCCGCCTGCGTGTTCAAGGTGCTAAAGCGTTTGCCATCCCTCTTACAGCACACAGGCACCGGCTCCCTCCCGCGTGCCCTGGGGTCTACCCCACGCGTGCTCCTTCTTTGAGCTCACACTGGCCGGCTAGCGAGTCTGGACGCGCCTTGCAGATCTTTCCCTCTGCCCCTCCACCGCCCCAGGACTCGCGCCCCTCAGCCCAAACGACGAAGCGCAGTGGCCCCATACTTAGAATCCGCAGAGAACACCGCTCTCCTAAAATTCAACTGGCTGCCGCCACAACGAACCACGCGGAGACTCTCCTCCTCCACCATCTTCGCGCAGACGCAGGATCTCGCGATGACGGCCCCGCCCCAAACTCCGTACGAAGGCCAGTTGATAGGATGGTGTTCCAGTCCACAGAAACCACGCATGGGCTTCTCCCAGCCGGAGACTTTACGTAGGACCCAGCGCCGGTGCCGCCATCTCTTCTTTGGGCAACGTCAAATTAGGACGCAAATAAAACCAATGAAAAAGCGAAACGGAGACATAGAGACAACGAATTTATATTGGGTACCTCTAAACTCTTGTTTAGTACAGATACATTTTTTCTTTGGCTTTGACAATCTGTTTCTCTAGCTTTTTCCGCCAGGAGGAAAAATGTGGGCCCAAAAGTGTCACGTGACCTCCAACCGGCCTCTCCCCGCGCCTCCGTCCCCCACCCCCTTACTTTGCTTCCGGCGCTGCGAGATGACGCCAGCGTCCCGTGCCCGCTGGTTTCTCGGAGGCGCGATTGGGTTCTTGGGTGGAAAGGTAGCATTCTGCTTTTTGCACGGTCGTTGGCTCTTTTCGATAGCCGTTACTTTGAACTTCCCCGGAGCGTAGCATACGTTCATACTCGTACGTGTTACTCCTTGATGTGTTGAAATTTACCGTATCCCTTAAGTGTTTCCGGAGGTCTATGATTATTGAAAGACTTGCATATGTGAGAGCATGCAAGACAGATAGAATCCCTCCCGTGGGACAGAGACGATACAGATTGCTGAAGAAAACAAAAATAGTAATATGAGAGCGAATAGTTTGCTCAGAGGAGATTTAGGTTTAACTTGATGAATATGTGTTTGTTAAAATTGTGCAGGTTAAAAATACTTTAAAAATTCAACGTTAACACACATTTTATGTAAAATAATTCAGTACAGAAATAGAATAATCCCAGTCCATCCTTACACACTATGGGTATCTCGCCACCATTAATAGTTTGGTGTATATGCTTCCTGATACTTTTCTGGGTATACACATACGTTAACACTTTTTGATGCAATGCACTATATTTTTCCTTCTATATAAAGCATATGTAGGCAAATCTTATCTCCTTTTTAATGACTGCATTGTATTTTATAGAGTAAATGTGCCGTAATTGATCAAATCTCTCAAAGGTGGATATTTAGTAATTTCCATTTTTTAAAAAAGTGGCAAATAGTGCTACAGGACCCATAAAATTTGTGTCACTACTCCTGATTCCTAGGATAGATTCCTAGGATAGATATTGTGAGGTTGATGGATATCTGCATTTTGAAATTCGAGTGAATGTTTTTTTGGAATTGAGACATGTTACTCAGAAACCAGTAGGAATAACAAATGACGACCAAAAAAGGAAAAGTTTTTTAATCTAAAGTTTGGGGAAAATTCGTAAGGAGAGAGAATATTATGAGAATATGACTTAAAGAAGAAATGAGGGAAAAATACTGCTTTGATGAGCAACAATTGAAAGGTAGCAAGGGCTGTGCATCCTTTAAAATTTAGATTGTAATATAGTTTCACTTTGTCAAAAATTGTTAAATATGATGAATTCTGCTTCTTAAGTCTAGTATTTCCTTTCATATACTGGCATTTGTATATCATACATTAGTCCTTGTTGATTGGTCCTGAAACACCAAAACGCAAGCAAAATTTTCTAAAGTGTTTGGAGGATTGGAAAGAACATATTACTGAAGGTTCTAGAAGGTGGTTAGATACTCTCTGCACATAATATTAAATTATCAGATACTTTCCTATGCATTTCATAGAAGAGGGCAAGGAAAGTTTGGCTCATTTGTTGAGAAGGGAAGCTGAGCATCTTTGACAGGTCTTTGGTTCTCTCTAGCATTCCTCTTTTCTTTCTGAGTTCTCACCAGAATCATCTTTAAAAGTCCCTTCGTGGCAATATTGACTTTTTCTAGCACACACTGTGAAACTCTTTCAGCCTCTTCCTTTATCCAGTTTCACAACTGCTTCCACATTTTAATGTATCTTAGTAATAGCAGCATCCCACTCTTGGTACCAAAATCTTTATGAGTCAGGGTGCTCTAGAAAAACCACGAGTAATATTCATTCATTCCATTCATTTATTAAAAAGAATTGGTGCACTCAATTCTGGAGGCTGAAAAGTCCCACAATCTGCAGTCTGCAAATTGGACACACTGAATAGCAGATATGGTCTAATTCGATTTGAGTCTTGTTGCCAAATCACCTCCCAAAATTCAGGTTCATGGGCCTGGTGTACTAATAAAGCAAAACATTGAGACAGTGCTTGGAGATGGAAAATTTTTTCAATTTGGCCAAAGTGAGAGGACTGGGAAGCAAGAGCTCTCAAATCGATCTCTCCCTTAAAAAATAAGTGTAGAGAGTTTTTATGCAGCTGGGGAGTAGTGGAGGGGAGTTTCCAGGGAACTGAGAGAGAAATCAGTGTCTCTTTAGTTATAGATGATGTTATTTCATATCAGACTCCTGGGTGTCAGCAGCTGGTCACAGCTACCTTGAAGACTCTTTCCTTCTGCAGAACAAACTCATAAATTCTCAGGACTGAAGTTATTTATTTCTGCTTGACAGTATCATGTGAGCAACACAAAATTATATTGTGAGAACAAGGGGTGCTGGGTTGAAGAACTGAGATTCTGCAGAATATCTCAATTGTTCAACGATGATGTTATCTTTAAAGCAAAAGGAAGAGACTAGACAACTTGTGACTATTGCCATTGTTCAAACTATTTTTTTTGTGCTTAACTAGCTGTATATTTCTATTATCTCAAGCAAAGTGTACTTTTAAACATTGATCCTGGAACTTGCTTTACAAGCAGTCCTTCAGAATGTGACTAACATACTTTTTGAATCTTTGACTATAAGCTAGGTGACAACCAAAGCAATAAACACATTTAGTCAAAGCCTATACCTATATCTTAATTAAGAATTAAATTATTTAATTATAGCCGCCAAAAATAAGTAGGCACATTAAAATCACAGGCTTTGCTCCAGTCTGAAGGCCTGAGAACTAGAGGAGTGGATGGTGTAAATCCAGTCTTAAGTGCAAGAGGAGACTGATATATCAACTCAAGAGTCAGGTAGAGAAGGGATGAATTCTTCTTTCCTCCTCCTACTTTTCTATTAAGACCATCCATGGGCCCTGAATGATGCCCACCCACATTGCGGGGGGCAATCTGTTTTACTAAGTCCACAGATTCAAATGTTAATCTCATCTAGAAGTACCTTCACAGACAAACCTAGAAATAATGTTTAGCCAAATATCTGGAAACCCCATGACCCAGTTAAATTGACACATAAAATTAACCATCATGCCAGGCAACCACTGATCTGTGCTTCTATACACTTTTGCCGTTTCCAGAAAGTCATATAAAATGGTATATAGGCTGTAATCTTTTGAGTCTACTTCTTTCACTTAGCATAATGCATTTGAGATTCGTGTGTAGATCAGTAGTTTCCTCTTTTTAATTTCTGAGTGGTATTCTGTTGTATGGATAATCCACAGTTTGTTTGTTCATTCTTTTGTTGAAGGAAGTTTGTTTTTTTTCCCCTCAGTTTTGGAAATTATGACTACTAATGCTCTAAACATTCATTTGTAGGTTTTTGTGTGAACATAAATTTTATTTCTCTAGGATAAATGCTAGCAAGGGGATTGCTGGGTCAAATCATATGTTTAAATTTTTGAGTAACTGCCAGAGTGTTTTCCCAGAGTTTCTCTACCATTTTGCATTCCAACCAGTAATGTATGGAAGTTTTAGTTGCTTCATATTCTTGTCAGCATTTGGTATTGTCAGTATTTTTTATTTTAAACATTACGATAACTTTATAGTGGGATGTCATTGTTTTAATTTTCATTTCACTAGTGACTTTGGGCATCTTGTCATATGTTTGTGCCCCCTTCTGCCTACCCCAAACAACCCAATAGAAAATAGACAAAAAAGAGTATTAACAGAAGAGCAAATCCAGTAGCCTGCAAACATGTTTTCAAAAGACATAGTCAAGAACAAGATACAGAAAGTTTGAAAATAAGGGCAGGAAAAAACAAAAATAATATAAAAGATGTGTAGGCTTAGCAATTTTTATATCAGTATAGTTTAGGGAAAAAGTCTTTTAAAGGACAAAGAAATACTTTTATATATTAAAAGATACATTCCATTAAGAAGATATGAATCATGAAGGTATTATGAATCACCAACATAGCTTCAAACTACATAAAAAAAGACTCATAAAAATTAAAGATGAATCTGGCAATTACAAATCAGCTGATCAAGTGGTCAAAAAGTAAAGATGTAATGTGTCAATAACACAATTAGCCATATTGATCTAATGTACATACATACCCAACAAACTTTCCCCTCAAACACACACTGTAATATTCACAAAAACAAACCATCATTTAGATCATAAAGATTATTTAAACAACACACATTACCATACACTCTGCTGTTAAAATTCTTCTCCTTCCCTACAGCATACACTTATCTTCTCAGAACAGAAGATTGTAGTAAAACTTTAGGAAGAAGTTTTCACATCTCTTTGGGCCCAGCAATCATCCTTTTAAATATTTATTTATTATTTTTTTCCCTCTAGAGTTTTGGCAGTGATTTACTGGTTGACTTTATAATTTCAGGGCTCTGTTACCTCACATTTAGGGTGAAGGATTAGAGGCTCTGAGCTGCTAGTGTTGTGGAAAAGATCCAAAATCAGATTGGCGAGAAACCAAGCAGCACCCGGAGAGTTGAAGAACTCAGGTTTTATTACGCCAGCAGTCCCAGAGGAGCTAGTGCTCTGAAGATCTGGGCCCAGAGCTCAGTTGCAACGTCCCTTATATAGACTTGTTTTGGCACAGCTGATGGGTTAATTTGTCCTTAGATGGTTACAAAGGGGCAGGAGTTGTTATGGTTGCAGGTAGTTATATTGTGTTATAAGGGCAGGAGTTGCTGGGGGGTACATATAGTTACATTTGTTGCTTAGAACAAGTAAAGGAAAGGTGAGTCTTTAGTCAATTTTGAGTACAGTCCATGCAGCAAGCATATTTACAGAACAGAAACAGAACAGAGAGCTTATTAGCTTTTTGAATGAAAATTTCTCTTCACTAGATTATTCTAAGTTTGGGAAATAAATTATTTCATGTAAATTTACAGACATTTATGTGGCAGAGGGATTATATTTACAATGGGAAAAAAATGATATCTTGAATCAGTGACTCCCTGTGACCTATAGGCTAAAATCCAGGTTTCTTGACCTGGCAAGAAAGGACTGCCACAAGTTGTCCTGACTTATTTTTCTAATATTTTTCTCTCCTGTATGAACCTCAGTATACATTTGGTCTCCCCAGCATTCTAAGACAA